AAAATGAAGTCAGACTTTTCTGACCAAGTTTCATTTGCCTAATTGGTTTAACAGTGAGGACTGCTTTTGCCAATTAGGTTACACAGCATATATTTTCTATAAATTGAATGATTCAAGGTAATTTGCAACTTTAAGTTTTGGCAAAATATGGTTAAAGTAGAAGATAAAGCCATTTTGTCTTTGTCTTTATATTTTGCCATATGGGCCAAAGTGTACTTTTTATTTTTAAAAATAAGTTATAGTATTTACAGTTTTAACTCTTTTTGGACATATAGAATATTTACAAGTTGCTTATTAGTGAAAGCATACATATTTTACTTTTATTTTAATAATTTATCAACTTGTAATATTTATGTTGCCTTGATAACATAAATGTAGTGTCAGATATTTTAACACATAAAACCTTATAGATGTTAAACTTAAGTATGATGTATAAACTTATGATATGTAATAAGTCTTTGGTGATATGTGCCAAAGCATTTATAGGTGTAATGTCTTGATGTCTGCAACTTGCTCTAAAATAATTCAGATAAAAAGGAGGGGAAGGGAAAGTGGGAGCTAGAGTTAAAGTCAAAGCTGCAAAATCTGTGAATTTAGGTGAAGGGTGTTTATTTTAATATTTTTTTTAGCTATGCTGAAGGCCTGAAAATGTTTGAAATATAAAGTTGGAAAACCGTAGTAGTCACAGGGATTAAAAACTTAATTTTAAGAAGTATGTGTCAGTGTTATAAGAAATGTCTTACCAGGGTGAAAGTACGTTAGGATACAATTATGTGGGGGAAGTAGAATAGATGGGCTTGTTCATGGATGATGGTGGTATGAAATTACTATGGTTTTTAGATGCCATTGGTACATTTAACAGCAATGGAACTATTTTATTTTAAAATGTCAACTTTATGTCAGAAATGGCATCTTTTGCAACTCTTCAAACTTACGATGAAACATTTTTTATGCCAAATTAGAAATCTATAAGAAGGTACATGATTTTAATGAAATTTTTGTGGTAAACAGGCAGGCAGGTTTGAAGACTTCAGACCTGGCTAACCATTCTTTCAGCTCTTTGGGTTCTAGGAATATGGTGCTCTGAGTTCATTCAGTTATACTACACTTTGGCAGATTATCATGGCATGGCCAGATGGATGTGACTGTTTTAGCAAAGGCACTGTATGGCACAACCATAATGGCTTCCCCCCCCTAAACCTGAACTACTCCCAAAGACATATAACCTTATGTTCAACTGCTGAGAGCAATCATAATATGTTATGTTATTACGCTGTTTTTTAAACTACAGAATTGTTTTATGACCTTGTAATTTCCCTTTTCTATAAATATGGATAATTTCTTAAAGAAACTATATCATATGTTAATGATATTACTAACATAATTTTTACTGGCCATGAAATTAGTAATTTCATAAACTGGAAGTTTAAAAAGTGAACTGCTTTTTTTTATTCTTTTAAGTGTCTATGTCATTGTACTGTGGGATAAACCATACCTTGTAATACTTATTGACTAACTTAAATTTCTCTTAAAAGGTTAAGAATTTTAATTTTTGGATTGGAAGAGTGAGACATAATGTACATATTGTACAAGACTGTGGAGGCTGAAAACCATGTGTACTTTTTTCTCTTGGCCAGAGACATTGGGAGAATATCATTTCTTTGAATAGATCAGGCTCTCTGGCTAATAGACTTCAGCATTGTTCTTATAATCTTATCAATTGTCTCCTTGGTTTTGTGCCTGAAAATGGGAGATTGTGGAGGCTTAATTTAATGAAATACAGATAAAAAAATCACCAGTGGTATTTTCAGAAGTGTCCATAATTTAATTATGAAATTCAGAAAATTAACATTATTACCATTTCCTTTTCAGATCCCATTCAAGTTTTGTCACTTATCTTACTGATGTCCTTTATAGTAGAAGATCCAATTCAGAATTACACATTACATTTAGTCGACACGTTTCTGTAGTTTTTTTAAGTGCAGCACAATTCTTCAGCTTTTTTCTTGACTTTAAAGATTATTTTTAGAATGAACCTGAATTTGGATTGTCTGGTGTGTTTTGTTTTTTAATCCTCACCCAAGGATATTTTTCCATTGATTTTTAGAGAGAGTGGAAGAGAGGGAAAGACAGAAATATTGATGTGAGAGACACACATTGATTGGTTGCCTCCTGCACAAGGCCCTATCAGTGCTTCTGTCTTTGGTCCTCTTGCCTCCTTCTAATAAGGACCCCTGTGATTATATTGGGCCCACCCAGATAATCTAGGATAACTTCCTCATCTCAAGATCTTTAATTTAGTCACATCTGTAGAGTCCCATTTGCCATGTAAGTTAATATGTTCACTGGTTCTGGGTTTTAGGATGAAGACATCTTTGGGGGAAGAGGGGGCGGGAATTATTCAGCCTATTTCCCCACTGTGAAATCATTCTTTTCTCTTTTGTAATGTTTTTGTGGGAAGATACTTGGATCCCTTCCTCTTAATGGAGAAAGATATCTAGAAGCCAAGATCTGGGTGCTAGGTGTGCTCACTACTATTGAGATGTCAGTGTTCTAGCCTCACTTATTAGATAGAGCTAGGGAATATGTATGTATGTGTATTGAGCTACTTCTGTATTAAAAAATATTAGTTCATACTGAGACCTTCAATTCTGATCCAATAACACACACACACACATCTATACTAATAATAGCCCTCACATCATCACAAGATGGCTGTCACAAGATGGCTGTGTGCACAGCGGAAGCGGGGCCCAGTGGCCACTCTGCATGGTGAGGCCTGGGGGTTGCATGGCTCTGCGCGACGTAGAGGAGGCTGGTCCTGGCGTCTCCGCTGCCTTGCGCGGAGGAGGCTGGTCCTGGCAGAGGAGGTGCGTCATGGCAGGGGAGGGCAGTTGTGGGCGATCAGGCCAGCAGGGGAGGGCAATTGTGGGCAATCAGGCCGCCATG